CACCCACACCCACACCCACACCCACACCCGCACCCACACCCACACCCACACCCGCACCCACACCCACACCCACACCCACACCCGCACTCACACCCACACCCACACCCACACCCACACACACACCCACACACACACACCCACACCCACACCCGCACCCACACCCACACCCACACACACACACACACACACTTTGGCGAGACACGTTGCCTGGGGCGCAACGGAAAGCTAAGCAGACGTATCTGACGTTACTACTCCGAGAAGCAGTCTCAAGAACCCACAATTGTCTGGGGGCCGCGCGGACTCTTCGGATCGGCCCTGGAACCCCTGCGCCGGCGCGCGGGGCCCGCCAGGGGCTGCGCTGCCAGGGGGGGGGCCAACGCCGATCCAAGACGCTCCAAGTCCGCGTCGAACTCTGACAATCGATGCTTATGCCGTGTTCACATCAGGTTGAAGAACTTACCGCGCCGCCCACCTCCCTGCCGTCCCCACCCCCTTGTCCTGGGTGCGCGACCACTTGGCTCCCAACGCGCCTGCAAACCCACCCGGGCCCCCTGCTCTTCCCACCGTCACGCCCTCAGGCACCTCCGAGCGCTTGCCCGAGTGTTCCCAACTGGGCACGCCACATTGCTCTGCGCATCGTCAGCGTAAACGATTTTCACGCCCGCTGGCATGGCCTTAGCCCCACTGGCCGACGTGCGCCCAAGATGCCTCCAAGATGGCCCAAAAGCGCCCCCGAGAGCGAACATTAGCCTGGCGAGAGACCCAACCATCTGCAGATGTGAATACCGCAATCGTGAATATCGTCTTCCTCGAAGCTCCCTATGGGGCCACGAAGTGTGTGATGAGTGTATCGAAATCGGTGGCGCGGACGCACGTAAACCCTGCCATTGGGGCCTTCGGTGGAACTCCCCATGATTGACATTTGCACCGGAGAGCGGGTCCTGGTGTATACGGGACCCTGGTGTATACATGTTTCGTTGGTTCCCCGGGACATCGGGGGAAAAAATAGATACACCACACCACCCCAGCGTCGTCCCCGACCCTCGAGAAGCCCTGGGATTGAAAGACAGCATGCCACTGGTAATGCATATGTTCCAGCTCCCGAGCATCAGCAGTGCCAACCACCCCTGCCCGAATGTCCGACGATATGATTTCTTCAATCCCTGTATTATCGGTTCCCTGATCTCGGCCTCCGGGACCCGTGTTCGGACCCCGGGACAATCGAACAGGTACCCTGGACGAAACACCACTCCCTGGGAGGCGTCGGGAGCTCTGGGGGCCGCGGGTTGGAGGACACACACACACACACACTCGCCATCGCTCGGACGTCCATTTCCTGTGTTTTTGTTCGGTTTCGTGCGTGGGTTTTTCGCCAAATGATCAAGGATGCTTGCTCCTCGACGGTCCTCGCCGAAGGAAAAAGGCACACGCCCGAGCGATACCAAGGAGCAGAAGGCCAGAGCCCCTTCCGGCTGCAGGCCTGGCTGCGGCAGGCTCTTGTCGGCACGGTGCCGGCGCTGGTCTCCGACGCCGCGGCGCGGAGCGTTCCACCGGATGCCTCCCGATGACGCAGGTCGGTCGGCATCGGCGGATTGAGGGCCCCCGTCGGCGTTCAACCTCGAGCGCCCGCGCTGGGGGTCGCCGCCGCGCCCCTCACAGCAGCGAGGCGCACGTGGCACATCGTCCTCCCCAGCCAGAAATGTGGCACCTCGCGCAGCCCCGCCGCTCTCCACCTTACATGCCCTGGCTATCGCGAACCCTCCACCAATTTCCCCTTGCCTGTCTTCGGGCACATGCCAACACGGACTTGGGTTAGGTCGGGTATGTCCTCCTACAGGCGGATCTTGGAGGAACCATGAAACATAGCCAAATAGACTCAATACTAGCCAAAAAAACAATCGAACAAAAACGTCCCCCGACTACTGTTTGACTATGTTTTGAATATTCCCATTGTAGAGGGACGTGTCCGACTCACGACTAGGGCTCCGTGGATCTGGCCCGTGGGCGCCAGAATCACGGATCGGGGAAAATACCCTCCCAAACACGGGGCCGATTCCGCCTCACTTGGCGGCGGAACGCCTCGATGTAGTAGTACGGAGCCGGGGGGCCGTCTCTCATCCACGCGCCTTGAGCCGAGATAGCGTTTCCTCGATGCTTGTCGATACCCTCTGAGGCCCATACCACCGCCGCCCTTCCGCCCTTGCTGCCCTGTACCTCCGCGCTGGCGCGCGCCGAGGGGGAAGGCGCGGAGGGGGCTATTACGTTGCATCTTCGGGGGGCCCTATCTGTCCAGTCGCGCCCCTACCCGCGTCGAATCCGCTTCGAATCCATGACGGACTCGCCGAGTCCGCGTCGCATCCACGCCGAATCCAGGCCAAATCCGCTTCGAGTTCGCATCGAGCCCGCATCGGGCTCAGGAGGGGACACACTCTTTCAGACAGGTCCCCCGAAGACGGAATTATACATGCCCCCCGCCCCGCCACTTGCGACAGCGACATGCCAGTGTTGTGGATGCCACGACAATGGACACCCTACAAGTCCTAGCATTGAATGTTAAACGTGTTCAATAGGTGGGAACACGTTATCAACATGGTTCAACCATGATTACAACATGTGTTAGACATGTTTTGGGCATCTGGGAATGGTTTGGCAACATGCTTCCTCTCCACTGATCGTCCTCCACAAAGCTGGTCCCATTATTTGGACGCCCGAAATGGGTACGGAAAGAATGGGCACTATGCCCAACAACAAAAGTTGTCCCAAGCCAACCCATGTCGTGCGTGCAGACATGAGAGGGCACGTCTTCCTGCGATCTACTGCCCTGTAGGCGTCCTCGCTGCCGGCGATGAGGAGCGCCGCCTGCCGCGCGGGTCTGCCACACGGACGACGGCAGCGCCAAGGACGGCAACACCAGCTCTGTGCACACGCTTCCACGGGGAAGCACTCCTCCTCCTCCTCCTCCTCCTCCTCCTCCTCCTCCTCCTCCTCATCCTCCTCCTCCCCCTCCCCCTCCTCCCCCTCCCCCTCCTTCTCCCCCTCCTCCACAATTACTCAATACGAATAGTACTCTCAATATACAGCATCGCTGCATTGCCACATCTGGCCCATGCTCTGCTTCACCTGTTCGTGCTTGGTCGCTGGCGCTGCGCACATACCGCATACCTGCCCAGCAAACCTCAAGCCTCAGACACCAAAGGTGAGGGGCAACGTTGGGGATGGGACCAGCGCAGGGGGAAAGCATCGACCTGGAATCGGCGACGCATCGCCGACAAATCGGCGTTGGGCCACCGATAATTCGACAGCGGATCCGCACGTTCCTGGGCGGAGCGGGCTATCGGGCCTTCATTTTTTCTTCTTCTCGCATGAGACAGGCCTGCGAGGCGAGATCTTAGCCACACCGCACATCTCACGAGGAGGGCCCGCCTTTGCACCACGGCTACTGCGCGTCAGCACGGCGAGAGCAACAACTCGCTCCACATCCGGGAGGCTCCACGATCCTGGCGCCGACCACGCCGCCGGTTCAAATCTGTGGATCCGAATTCTCACCGTCTTTGCAGTAGCCATCAGGGAGTCATCAGCAGGCAGAACAGAGGGGACACAAAGTAGACTGCAGCATGCGTGAGCGCCTGCGAGCGTAGACCGCAGACCGACACCCGCGGACGGCACCCGCCCAAAGCCCCTCGCAGGCGCAACCGAGGTAGACGGGTGGGCGGGGTGGAGACGGCGGAGGAGAACAAGACAATCACTGCTATCGCTCCCACTTGCACATGTTGAAATCTGCCACGTCGCGGGCCTACAAATCATCTAAAAACCGGCCCGCTCGCGTGGCTGAACTGGAGCACGCGGTCCAAAGTTGGTGAAACTCCTGTCGAACTGATGACACGACGCGCTTGCAACAGGCCGTGCTGATGAAGGCTCGACAGGGCAGATCAAAATGTCCCTGCAGGCGACGGCGCCATAAGGCACCAACTCTTACCCCACGACCTGCTTTTGAAAAGCCACAAGGTAAGGCTTCTCCAAAGGATTTGTGACACCGCACTTGATGGGGAGGCACTTGCAGAAGCAACCGCACAAGAACGGAGACTTTGGCATCATGCCCTCGCAGCTGCCAAGGCACTTGATGCAGTTGTCTCTGCCGCCCAAGCCGCACCCCTCCTCCCACTCGCAGCAGATGAACATCCCCTTCTGGCCGCAGATCGTCGGCCCCAGCAGCTCCCCAATGGAGCAGGACCAGCAGAGGAGCTTGGAGAAGAGCTGGTCCCCGCTCTTTGGCACGGCCGCGTGATCGCACGACGAATCGATGCCAGCGGCAGCCATGTGCACTGGCTCGGGAGACATCTGCAGCTGCGGTGGCCCCTGGGACTCGACGTCGGCCGCCGTCTCGGCAGGGTAGAGCTGACGCGACTCGAAGCACACGTGCGAGCTGGCCATGGCTTGGGGGATTGGTTGGGCACGCTGCCAGGCGCGTGTGCGAATCAATGATGGGATCGACCTGCTTGAACCCCCGTCCTCTTGAGCCAAAATGGCTACGGACGGGCGATCGGGCCTTCATTGATGGGCATGTTTTCTACCACCACAACCACAAGTTGGAGGGGGAAGGGGTCCTCCTCCTCTTCCTCCTCCTCCTCCTCTTCGTCCTCCTCCTCCTCGTCCTCCACCTCCTTCCCCCCTCCAACTTATGTGGTGGTGGAAAACATGCCCATAATTCACCTGCAACCAGTACGCCATCGGGTGTCGATGCATCCCCCTCTGAGCCCGTCCCCCCTGACAGAGGTGGCTCTCGCACCCGACCTCGTCGCCACTGCCCTCCCTGATGCAGCAACGCACTGGCCATCGCTCGGACGTCCATTCACTGTGCTTTTTTCGGTTTCGTGCGTGGTTTTTTGCCAAATAATCAAGGATGCTCCTCGATGGTCCTCGCCGAAGGAAAAATGCACATGTCCGAGCGATGCAGCAGCGCAAACACACCGATAGAAGCACCCATTCCACAAAGCACACCGTGCGGTCCAAACCCTTGCCAACGGTCACTGAAGTTTCCCCCCCATCTGTCCGCACATGGCCTCCCCACTGGGGTCCGAATAGATGGGGTCGGAGGGTCGCGCCGCAGCATCAATGCTCCAGCGATGTACCGGCGACGTCGGCGACGCATCGGCGACGGCGGCGTTGAGGGAATCGCGCTCCACTTTACGCCGCATCGGTGATGCATCGGCGAGGCGGCGCGATCCGCCGACCCCACCTCCTCGGACCCCCATCCAGGACTCCTGGGCGATCGGGCGAGGAACGTGAGAAGTGAGAGAAGGGGCAAGCGCAGCGGACAGTACGTAGGGAAGGAACAGCAGAACCCAGGCAGCCGACGTCCTGATTCTTTCACAACGTGGCACGTGGAGCTCAGAACCCTCCCCGGGCGGCCTTCTGACGGTCCCGAGGCCCAGTGAGGGCCCCTGGCCAACAATTGCCAAGCATCTTCCATTATGTGTTTTTTGTTTGCATCACGCGAGGATGCCAGGAGAGGCGGGGGGGGGGGGAACGGAGAAGGATAAACAGAAGCACCTTACAAGCAAGAGCGAGCCTCAGCAGGAGTGACCCTCGGCGAGCGGCTTGGCCATTCCGTAGCGAGCGATGCGACGCCAACGACCTGCGTGCCCAAGCGCGCCCAAAGGCCACTCCGGCGCAGGGTCAATCTTAGGTGCTGCCGAGGGCAAAGAGAAAGAACAATGGGCCAGCGAAGGAAATAATGCGGGCGAACGACAGAGGAGGGCCAGCTCAAGCGAGGAAACATCGACCTGTAATCGGCGATAAATCGCCTATAGATCGCCGATAGGCTTCCTATGCCGAACATTCCTAGGCGGGGCAGGCCATCAGGTCCCCTATCGGCGATCAATGGGCGATTGGGGGTCGATGCACCCTCCCATGAGCCTGTCCCCTTCCCCACCGTTGCCCCTGGGCGTTCGGGTCACAACTCGACTTTCCGGTGACCGTTCGGGACAACCTCGGCACCCCTGGGCACCCGAGACGGTCTTGGCGAGGCGGAGCCGCTTGAAGGCATCTCGATGCAGCGTCCCTCAGCCTCTGACAAAAAACAAAACAGCGGGCTGGTAAAGGATTTAAACGCCCAGACTGGGGTACGGAACAAGTGGGTACGATGTCCAACAGCAAATGTTGCCCCAATCCGACAGCGGCCGCTGTTGAGCAGGCTCCTTTCGCCTTATATGGACACCGTCCGCGGCAACGCCGACAGCGAGTCCTGCTCCTCAAGGGCAACAACTGCTGACGATCTTCGTCACCATTTCTTCCGTACCCACTTCCATCGTGCCGAAAGAAGCTCGGCCTCTGCCCACAGCCCCGCCCCGCCGTCGCGGCGTACGTGGGCGCCAGGTGCGGCAGCTGCGAGGGGCCGCCGCCGAAGCCGCCGCCTGGGTCCTCGCGCGGCGGTCGGCACCCCCGTTTGCCGCACCGAGGCCGCACGAGGCCCAGCTCTCGGGCGCACCGAGGCCTGACCTTCCAGAGTGTCAGAAAACGAGCCCTCTAGACTTGTAGGCCGATTTGGACTGCTTTAGATGTCGAGGTCCTCGTGCTAGTTTCCAACCCTGCTAGAAAGTCAGAAGAGGAGGGGGGCCAGAAAGAGAGGAGATAGCGCATCATCCTGGGATCCGGGCATTGCACATCTTCCCCCTGGGCGTTTCGCCCGGTTTCGAGACCTGCCATCGCAAATTGGTCCAGCCCGACAAATGCAGCTGAAAGATAACGTCTAGGGCTCCGGTCTTGATTTTCTGCGACGTTATACCCTTGCGCAGCGTCGAACCCCCGGGCCATGCCCGAGGCTAAGGACAATGAAAAGTTGCACCAGCACCACAACTCGCCATCGCTCGGACATCCCTTCTCTGTGCATCTTTCGGTTTCGTGCGTGTTCTGTTGGCCCGATGGTCGAGGATGCTTCTCGATGGCCCCAGCCGAGGAAAAATGCACACGTCCGAGCGATGCCAAGACAAGCAAGAGGAGCCCAAGGGGGTCCTCCAGATGATCCCGCCCCTCCCCGCTCGAGACGGAGTCCCCAGCAGACTGCAGCCTCAAGGCCACTCATGCAGCGGACAAGTCTGGACGCAACTGACGAGGCGAAATCTCACAGGCCCCCTGGGGCGTGATGGGTTTCGGACGCTGCCTCTCCCAATCCCTCTCCTTCCCCGTTCGGGGAACTGTTTATCACTGCTCCTTATTTATGCACACCCGCTCCCCCGCCCGACTGTGGGCCAACCCGAGACATGCCAACTTCCCCCACCCGCCCCCACCATCCTTCTCAAAGAACAGTACATTAATGCACTTTGCCTCCGCATCTGGAGCATGCGCGGGCGCCCCGAAACCACTTTACATTGCTTTTTGAAAAGGGCGGCGGGGTGCCGTCGTATTGCTCGCTGCGCGCAAGCCTCCATATCTGGAGCATGCGCGGGCACCCCGCGACCAATTTGCATTGGTTTTTGACAAGGACGGCGGGGTGCCGTCGTA